CTCCTGCTGCTAGCTAGGTTTTCTCCTGCTGTTAACTAGGTTTTCTCCTGCTGCTAGCTAGGTTTCCTTCTGCTGTTAGCTAGGTTAGGGATGCTTCTCTTTGATGTGGCATAGATTTCCCAGGTGTTTCCCTGCTGCTAGCTGTGATAGCAAGTTCCATCTGTGCTTATTTGTTGTATTCTTTAGTCGCTGGAACTTGCAGATTAAAAGGCAGGCAATTCAAAGCAGGAAACTAATTCTCTAAAAGTGTAGGTGATAAATAAAATTTAAAAAAATGCTAAATGTGTGAACCACCACAACAAGAGTTGCTGCTGCTAGAAAATAAACAGGCAAATTAAAATCTATAAGCCTTTTTATGATTCAGTTCCTTGCAGCCACAAAGAACTGAATCATAATTGTTGAAGGTTATTTTAATAACAATACTGAAATGTCAAATATGTGATTCATGCTGATGTTAGTGTGAGGCATCGTAAAAATTTATCAATGTTTTTAAACTCTTTCACAAAGGGTCACAGGGAACAGTGTTAGGAAAATAAAAACGGTACATACTGTTACTGGATTTATAAACTACTCTTTTTCAATGATAATCTTTTTCACCACTTGAAAAAAAGTCATTCACAGAACCAAAGTATGTAAAATAACTAAATTAGATGTTAGTTATTTTAACAGGTTTATGAAGCCACTCAGGACAGAGTGAATTAAATTAACCCCTTGTGTGATTTAATTTATTTTAATATTTTTGCAAAAATAAATAAACAAATGAATAAATAAATAAATAAATAAATAAATAAATAAATAATCCCCTGCATCCTAAATGGAAGAGGAAAAACCAGGCTGATTTGCACAAGAGTGAGGCCGGCGCTCAAGATGTGCCAGCTTAAACAGTACGCACACACTCCATCAGGGATGAGTCACCGCGGCGCAGCAGGCAGCAAGAGGAGGGGGGAACAGGAAGAGGGGCAGTTTCCATGGCAACCTATCTATGTCAATCCGACTCTGCCAGCCTCCAGATTGGAAAAGCCCAACATACCCTCTGCCTGCACAATGTTCTGCTTTTGATCCGCACAGTCACTCCTGAGGGTTTAGGAGAGTTCATACGTCTGCGTTTGGGTGCGTGTGTGTGTGTGTGTGTGTGTGGACTCACTGTGGCATGAGAGATGGTGAGGATGCCTCCCTTCACCGAGCACTGCCTCCTCTGCCACACCTTCCTCAGCCTGAGAGAGGATGTCCCATTAAGAGAGGGCTGTCATTCTCCGTCTGTCCGTTAAATTTTAATGGTGCGAGCACAGCGGCGTTCGCAGCTTACCCATCACTCTTCTTCAGCAGGTAGCCTTTCTTCTCACTACCAAACTCTTTGTTTCCCTGCAGCTGGTGCATGCTGTAGCCACCCTGCTTACTCTGCGAGTCCTGTGTTGAGTCATGCAAAACATATCCACGAGATTGAAGTGTAAAGATAAACACTTTTAGGGGATTATTTTTGACCAAAACATGCAATGAGGACCCAGACACACTATAGACACGTTGCATGTTTTTGTTTATATCTGGAAATTTTGCGCTGGAGATCAATAGAACCATTATGTGGATAAAATGAAACCTGGAGATGTAGGTATTATCAATTTAGTGCAGCAAAGGGGAAAAACAACTCAAAGCTACTCTTTTTGCCTGCTCTGCGCTAGCTACGCTACACACAGACCCATTGTCGTAGCAACTGACTCACAACAGCTCAAATAGTGTGTCAGGATTCAACACCAAAACTTTAAGTGAAACAAAACAGTCAGATAGGTCAAAGCACAGGACGTATTACTCCTGACTTCGGTAGCTGTAATGTAGCTGAAACATTTTGACAGGGCGCCACGAACCACACAAAGTTGCTAAAACATCATTAAGCACTACCAGAATTAATCCATATTAATTCTCTAGAGGGGGCTGTTTTACTCCAGAACAATAAATAAGGCACCCTAAAGACTTTTAAGTGCCCCTTATAGTCCAGAAAATAGGGCAATAAGTGATCGTCTGAACACAGCAGTGGTTGATAAGCTAATTTAAACATCTACGCTACCAATGATCTGTCAGAGTTGGTGTATAGGTTGCCTTATTTTCTGTTTCTGCTGAACCGAAACACCAGATTCCACAGCATATCTACATGCTAAGTTATCAAAGTCAAGCTAGCATAACCTACTTCCCCCTTGCTATTTTTTAAGCTGTTAAATGTGATACCTTTGACGCTTTTCTAGACAATTAGCAGCAAAGCTCTGCATCCTTTTTTTCTTTTAAATCACATGTAAATGTAAGATTTAGCGCCTTACGTTGACAACTTGACAGCAAAAACCAACGCTAGTCATCGTCGGCGAATGTGACGTCACGCTGCAACGTGTCTATAACACTTCAGTGGAGGGACTTTTATAAGAAAACAGAAATAACTTTTAAAAAGGCTGCAAGTAAACGGCATGCTCTGCAACACCCCTGCACAGTCAAACCACAGCATGCTCAGACTTACTCTTCTAGACTTGATTCCAGACAAGCAGAAAGCAGTAAAAAGGAGGAGATAGAAGGGAGAGGGGTGAAAAATCTGGCTCAAGTGAAGGTAGTGGCTGTGAAGAAGTGCACTCTTCGGCTAAAGCTTAAAAACTTACAGAAGGTGTGACTCAAGCAACTGCTCATACATGATTTTGTGCGTTTCAGTGGATCAAATGTGTAGAAACAGGCAGTGTTTTTATGTGAAAGTGTGACAGTGAGGCCCTGAACTGGGCACCAGTTTGGTGCAGCGCTGGGCACCCGCTGGCCAGAGCGAGAGGAAGCGTGTGGCGAGACCAAAGGCTGAATCAGAGCGGCTGTGGCTGCTTTTAAAGCCGGTCCGCTCAGAGTTTGGGTTAAATTTGGCCCCAACGGTCCAGAGGTGGCGTGCATACCTCTTTCTGGTCCAACTGGAGGGAGGACTTGATCAGATCCCGCAAAGCAGTCAGCTGCTTCTTTTCCTCGTCCTGTGTTTGCTTTATCTGACGACAGAAAATACACAAATTAGGACGTTTAGTTATAGGATTTACAAACTAAGCAAGGCAACTGGGAGTACTTTATTTGAAGGGGTGTGCATAAGACTGACATGACTCATTATTCGCTAAATAAGGAGATTTTTAATGTAAAGTTGCATTAAAAGTCCATTAAAAATGTCAACTTTGTATTAAAAGAATCATTAATTATCAAATGACTCTTCGTGACAGCAGTCATTAATATTCATGACAGTTTTATGTCAGTCTTATTCACACCCCTTCAAACAGAGTTACCGACAAGCTAAACTGAACAAAATAATAAAAGAAAAGAAAATAAATGCAACATAAAATAAGAAAACAGGACAAATTAAAATAACTTAAGAGAAAAAATAAAATAAAGCAAAAAGAAGAACAGAAAAACAATAAACATTAGAGCTGAAACAAGTATCTGGATTAATCGACTGATCAAACAATTATCAACGATTATCAACTTGAATAATCATTAACTGAGAAACAGACAACAGATTTAGAGCAGTAATTAAGCCAAAACTGCACAAAAATATATGCATTTTACATTTAAGATTAAAACTGCCTCTTGTCTATAAATCTGTTATTCCCAGAACTCCTTAAGTTTCAGTTTTAGCTTTGCCTGATTTAAATTCCTTTAAGAATCTCCTGTAAGGTACTTTTTGCAGTTCAGTTAATTATTTAATTGAAAAACATACGATCAGATTAAATCTGAACTGTATTGATGTTAAATGAAGCAGAAACAGCTGAGCTTTGCACATGTTGCTACAAATGATGAAGAACTCACTAAAATGTTATTGGATCCTAGACAATAAAATGTTAAAAAAGGAATTTATTTGTTTATTTGCATTTTTATGTCTATTTTTATTATTGTACAATATAGGCTTATGTGGTTAAATTCAAAATCTTGAGAATTTGATAATTTTTCTATCCAATTATTCAATTAATCGTCAGAATAGATGACAGATTACTTGATTAATAAAATAATCATTAGCTGCAGCCCTAATAAGTACAGAAAAGTAAAGTTATTGAAATAAAACTACATAAATGAATAGAAATAAGTAAATGAATAACACAACATTTAATTAAACCATACATGACGGAAACAAACGAATAATTACGTTGTAGAGATCAGCCGCCAGCTTCTCGATGTACTGCTTCAGCTTATCTGCTGTCTTCAAGCCATCTTGGAAGAAACTTTACAGAAACATAAGAAGAACTTTTAGACACCGATCATCCATTACTGCAACAGCTAACGTAACATTGCGATCCTTCTGGTTCTTCCATTTCTGCTCGCAGGCAGAAAGGGCTGCAGTTTGTGTTGAACATCAAGCTCAGCTCACTCTCGCTCTTTGGCACCTTTTGGCTTCTGGTGCTGAAATCAGATCTGGTTTCGACCCTTCTCTGCAGATTTGCAGAGGCGTTTAGCACGCTCTGAAATCCATTACAGATCTGTCAGCGGTACACACCTCGATGAAGTTCTGCAGCAGCAAATCACCACTAATGACTGCAACCCCTCCCTCTGCCTGGAACGAGCGTCTCCCTTCCTCTTCCCATTACTTTTTCTGCCACTTCTAGGTCGTTCGGCTCGTTTTCTCTCAATCTCTGCTCTGATGAGCCCACATCTTGGCTCCCTCTCCACAGCTTAGCTTGCAAAGTTCAACCAAACCATGCTTGACAGCTGCTCTGTCATTGCAGCCTTGGATTTACCACTTTTGTTGCATAAATGAAGTTCCTGCTTAAATTTATTGAAGCAAACGAGGGGTGGGAATTTATCGTATTGTTTATCGTGATCATCAATACAAAATTAATTCCAGTTAATGTTGTTTGAAACTCTCCAAAATTGTCCGTATTGCCATTTTACAATTTTGTCTAATGTTTGTTCAATGAAGCCATCAATAAATGTCAAAAATTCTGATTAAAAACAGTTACTGTGTCACACGTTTAGTGTCCTAAAGAAACGTATTCCACATCGGTAGGGTTGCACCGATAAATTGCCTCAAATTTCCTTAATTTTGGGAGATTAGTGATCGGCCGATACTTGACTTTCTTGCAGTATTTAGCAACATTTCAGACAAAAACAAACAACTGTATCAGCCAAAATTAAAATCGGTAGGTCAGGCTTTTTTAAAGATCAGATATCAGCCAGAAAACTGCAATTGGTTCACCGTTTTTCAAAAGCAGTATTTGCATTTATGTGACTGAAAAATAAGTAAAAAATAGCTCTTACCATCATTTTTATCATGATAAATCTGTCATGATAAAACTTTAAGACCATATCGCCCTCTGCAAGTGCAAACAGGGCAGTTTCACTTTCTTTGACCACTTTCCTCAGCTCTCAGTCTGCTGTCCTAACGCTCCTAATCCATCATCCTGCAGCCTTTCTATCCGTCAAGGCCCAGGTTGAACAGATTAGCAGGGAAGTGCATTGTTTTGTCCTGGTGTTATGACAGGACACACTGTAGCAGCCCTGGACGAAAATCTGTCATTCTGTCATGGGTCGCTGCAAGCTGCAGCTCCGGAGAGATGAGCACCCGCTTTATTTACCCACCAAACCCCCTCGGCTGTCGCAGCGTATCTATATGACGACCTGCAAAGATTTATGAGCAGACTCAAGATCTGGGAGCAACACCAGACAAAGCTGCTGCAAAGGACAGGAGAGCTAGCGCCTTCTTTCTTTATCTAGGGTGTGAAATATGACTTAATGGGTGAGAAGCAAAAGAAAAACAGTAGCAGCAGGCGTCACATTTGGGTTAGGGGGATTATGGAGGCGCTTACTTGCACTGTGCGTGGTAATACTTAATCAGGTTTTGCAGGAGGTCCACTCCTTTCTTGGTCTTGATCTCGTTTACTTTGATCAGGTACTGGAAGAAAAGCAGAAAAGCAGAAAAGCAGAGTTTAAATTCAGGGCATTTTGAAAAGCCTTCCAAGTCCGAATAGGAAGAATCACGTCATCAGTGCTCAGAGTTATGATTCTTGAGTCTAGGGCTGCAACTAGCGGTTATTTTGTAATCAATTATTCTATTAACTGGATTTAAAAAGTTTCATTTAACCACTTAAGCCTTTTTATACATATTACCTAAATTCAAAATGTACATAAACGTTCGTACAGTTTTGGCTGAACTACTGCTCTGACTGTTGTTTCAGAAAATTAACTCTTTTTGAGTCTCCATACCTGATTAATTACTAAATTAATTTATGATTATTTCAACTATCAATCATCATTCCAGCTTTATTTGTGTCAGAGTTTAGGCAGAGTATTTACACGCCTCAAACTCAACCACAGTTTGTCTGGTTATAACTACAAACTGTAAATATTTTATAAAGATGCTACAACCCCAGCTTTACTGTACTTTATGTCACAAATCAGCACAAATTAGTGCGTTATTGTGAAATGAAGGAAAGTTATACAATGTTTTTGTAAATGTTTGAAAGAAAAGAAACGTAAGGAATGAGGCATGCACTGATATTCAGGTGAGAATCTGTGGCAACAGTATTCAGTCTGCCTGAGCTTGGGCTCATAGAAAATGGAAATATTAGCTGAATATTAGAAACAAAAATACTTGCAGCTGTAATCGCAGGAAAAGGTGGGTCTGAAAATCATAGACTCAGAGAAAAATAACACAGTTTTGGTGTTTATTTTGAAAACCATGTGTCACTTTCCTTCTACTTCACAAATTACGCACCGACATGTGTTGAATCATCACATAAACTACAAATGCTTTGCTGACAATGTTCAAGCGAGGATCAGAGTAATAAAGTGAAACTTGAATTTCACAGAAAATACACTGCTCAAAAAAATAAAGGAAACACTCAAATAACACATCCTAGATCTGAATGAATGAAATATTCTCATTGAATACTTTGTTCTGTACAAAGTTGAATGTGCTGACAACAAAATCACACAAAAATCATCAATGGAAATCAAATTTATTAACCAATGGAGGCCTGGATTTGGAGCCACACACAGAATTAAAGAGAAATGTTCCCTTTATTTTTTTGAGCAGTATAGTTTTGTATCTTAAAAAGGTTGGGATTTTTAAAGAAAATCCTTCAGAGGAACTCTGAGGCCGTTTGAGGATTCAAGACAAATGTTTTCAGACAGCGCCCCCACCAAACAAATAAATGAAAGATAATCTACTGATAATCCCACAGAGAGCCAATCCACACAGATTTAAGAGTTGCTGAGAAGCTAACGACTAATTCTAACCCAGAAGAGCTTCGTCTCTTCGATGAAGCTCTGCGCCGCTGCATCATATGTTGATGCATGTGCGTTCCCACACGCATGAGTAAACCTGCGCATAAGTGTGCAAGCATGCATGCATGTGCCGTCCCTTTGTCTGCCTCACGGCACTCGACGGCTGGCAGATTATCCACATTTTTTTGTTTGAAGCGCGAGTGGGTTCGGCGTTTGTGGACAGCGTCGCTGCATGTTTGTGAATCCCTTTTGTGTGAATGAGCGACGACATTCACGCTGCTGCAGAATATAATGCAGCCTGCTGAGCCCTGCCTTTCCTCACTCCTCTGCTGGCAGCGTGGGACGAAAAAAAAAAAGGGAGTGAGAGAGTGAGAGCGTCGTGTAATCTGGTGATTGAGTAACGTGGAGAGAGTGTGAGAGAGCCCAGAGTGCAGGCAGCGGAGAGAAATGAGGTTAAGTGGGATGAACAGATTGTGCCACTGACTGCAGCATTCTCACAACAACAACAACAGTATCACAACGAGATTTCCACCATTAATGGCTGCTAATTTAGGGAAATGTCTGGGATTTATTGGCTGAAATTTCACCACATTTACAAAAAAATATAGTCAAATATGATATGTGTGAATGGTCAGTTAACCAATAATAATTTAAGCTATTAATATGCTTAATTAAAACATTCATTTTGGATGTTTTTGTTTTTATTTATGATGAATGCATGGAGATAAATTGGTGAACGCCACTGGTAAAAATGTGTAAAAAAAAAAAAAAATCCCTTCAAAATAAACATTTTACTGCATCATTTTAACAAAAATGTTGTTAAAATCCAACCTCTTGTTTGCATATTTATTCATAAAAACAAAAAAGTCAATAAATGACTTGTGCTACATAATTGCTAGACAAATAATTGTTCCTAAAACAGCTTATTCTTGCAGGGTTGCAGCGGGAGATTGGTGCCCATCTGCAGATGGCAACACACAGGACACACACTCACACCCAAAAGCATTTTAGAATATTTAATTAAGCTAACAGTCATGATTTTGGACTGTGAGAAGAAAAGAGAACCCACATATAAACTGGGAAAACATGGAAACTCCATACAGAAAGAAACCCAGATACCATGCAAAACAAAAGTAAACCTTTTTCAGAAACGTTATCAGAGATTAAAAAGGTAAAAATTATAAAGGAAACAACTTTTTAAATGCAGAGTAAATGTAGCAAAATGAACGTTTTAGCTGTTCTTGAATTTCCACAACAGAACACCACTAAAAGAACCACTAATATTATTTCAGATCTATTTTTTTGTCGTAGGTTGGAAATTATATGAATCATATGCCTCATTCACTGTTAAGCATGGTGGAGGATCTGTGATACTGTGGGACAGTTGTGAACTGCATCAAATTGTTTTTTATTTCAAAACTGCAATAAAATATGGATTTATTCCAATATTCTTAATCAAATAGCCAAACACATCCTCCTGCTTAGAGCAGAGCCAGTTTCAATTTGTCTGTCAGAGAATGAAAAAGAAATTTAAACCAAATCTGGAACCGAGGAAACCAACGAAAGAGGAAGGTGGTGATAATGATGTGTGTGCTACAACTCGCTATTGGCATGTTGCTGCAACCGGAGGCGGCTGCTAAGCTGTAAAACACAGACGCTGACGGGTTTCTATCAATTCATGGATCAAAAATGTAAACAACCAACGCACAGGAGTCGGTGCTGATCCTGCAAAAACAAACAGGAAGTCTTCTGGCTGAGCCACTGTTTGACTTTTAGGAAACATTTTCAATCTCCTGATAAATTCTCACGCTTCCAAAAATTCAGTTAGTAGCGACAAAAAAAACAAAGAATTTCCTCTGGAAACCAGCAGAGACGGATACTTTAAAGCAATTGGTAGCGAGACGAAAGCTAAAAATGTCTCGATATCACAAGTTAACACCAACAATGCTCTTTAACTCGCAGACATGTTTTAGCAAGTCTGTTAGCGGAGTAAAAGGTGTCAGATTAATTTAAATTCATGGTGTGTGAGGAGACTAGCGTAACTGTTAATCTAGAAGAGGATGTAAGATCAGAGCGTCCTGCAGGGGGGATGAGGCAGAATGAGCAAGCGCTGACCCGTAGAGTCTAAAACATGCTGTGCTGTCTTCAAAATGCACAAAGACATGCAGAGTCCACTTCTAATCTGGCTTTCAATTATGTTTTAGAAAATGCATAACAGATCCCATTCAGAAAACTATTGATATTCTATGTGCTGTCCATTATAAAAAAGTGTAAAAGAAGTCTCCCAGCCTCACTTAGGCGCTGTTTTGTGTTTAGAGTTACTGGAAAATATTACTGATAATCAGATTTGACAGAGCTGAGCCTTCGAGCTCTCAAACCAAAGTCTCTGACCTGCTGAAGAAATATGGGCACAATGAAATGAGGAGAGGGCGGGTCAGTTGGACTTTGCACAAAACTTAATCCAGAAAACCCAAAAAGCAACGCGGCCCGCATTATGTAATCTGAGAAAAAGAAAAGATCCTAGCAGGATAAAACGGCGAGCGAGGCGTAGGCGCCGCCGCCCACAACCAGAGAGGATTTTGGCCAAACGGAGACAGAGAGAGAGAGAGAAAGAGAGAGAGAGAGAGAGAGAGAGAGAGAGTGCTAACAGTTTGTCCTGATTCTTCTGGGCACAAACACACAGCTCACATTTGTTTTACGCTTTATTCTCGCTGCCAGGTTTCTTAAAAGTTTGGCCATTGTGAAACAGAGTGACTTCATTTAAAGCTTACAGGATTAAGAGGAAGTCTGAAAGCTCTTGGAGAGCAGAAGTTGGTGTTTTAGCACAATTTGTGCGCCAACACATCATGACCTACAGCAGGCACTGATCTATCATTTATCATCTCATGGACATTGTTCAAATAATGTGTAAATATTGGGCTATTAAACAGCATTTCTTCTGTTTTGTCACACCTTAAAGATAACCAAACACATTGTAATGTCACACAAAGTTAAACTGAGGAAACACATCAATCTGAATTAATAAAAAAATATATACATATCTGTATACACTGAGATGTAATATAAAAATGTTTCTAAAATATTGAAATTGTTGCCACGTCCTGACAGTATAAAAATCAAACTTCTCTGCTTCCTTCCTGCAGTCCTACTGCAATCTGCAGGAATGTACAGCTCAGTTAGAAACAACCAATCAGAGCCAGGGGGAGGGACTTAGCATTGACAATCATGCATGTGTATGTGCTGTAGCTTTAAACAGACCATTCATGACTTAAAGCACTTCGATGTGGGAGAATTCAGCAAAAAACAGTAAGTAAACATCATCTTTGTCCATTCATTCATTCATTCATTCATTCATTCATTCATTCATTCATTCATTCATGTTTCCTCTGCAGTTATACATGTAAAAATTCACTCATCACAAGAGCAGGTGTTGCACCACAACCTATTAGGTTTACATCTAGCATTAGGACATCTTGAGGGATTTTGCTATGAATCAGCATGCAGCCTGTAGAGACATCTGTGTCAAATTCATGGTGAACATCTGACTTTATTCTTTAAAAGTGAAATAAAAATGAAAGAGAGTTCTGACTTAAAAGGATAAAAATGTTTAGGACAAACCCCTGCTTGTTTCAGACAGTCTCTAAGTGTTTGTGTCATGTCCGGTGTTTTGCTGACTTCCATTTCCTGGTTCAGAGGGACTGGAAACAAAGCTCAACACAACACCTGCTGCTCATAAACACCATCTGGTTCTACTAATATAACAGGGCGAATATCTGCCAAACTTTATGTTTATTTCCACATCTGGAATCCCCCAAATATGAATCATAAATGAGAATCTCAATAAGCAAGAGAAACCATTGCAATATTTGTTTCACCTGTCTAGCTACTTTACCAGCATTCAGCTTATGTGCACCACAAATCTGGAACAAACTTCCAGAAAACTGCAAAACAGCTGAAACACTGAGTTTCTTTAAGTCAAGGCTAAAAGCCCACCAGTTTAGAGTTGCTTTTGAACATAATAAATGGAAAACTGACCGACATATTTGATGTGTATTGATGATCTTGATCAAAATATCAATGGTTTCTCAATTGATGACTTTATGTTATTTTTATCACTTCTTCTTCTTGTGTTTTTAACTGCCGTGGTGCTGAAATGTAAACTCGACTGATTGATTGACATCAAGGAAATGCAAGTTTATATCTTTCCTCCCTTCTTCCCTACTTAGCTTCAAAGAAGAGTGTCAAATTATTCACCTCGCACATCTGCAGCTGGAACAAGCGCCGCTCCTTCTCCATCTCCTCTGCGATCTCGGCCCCAGTGATTTCGGTGCGGATCATCCCGTGCTGCTTGGCATGCTCCCGCTTCTCCTTCTCTATCTTTGTACTGCAGGGGAAACAGAATCGGGTGTTTCCAACCGGTACTAACGAGATGTCTGCTACGGCTTACCATCGTCTACTTACAACTTAGCCTCATAGTCCTTCCACGCTTTGTCAAAAGGCTTCTTTAAGTCCTGCAGAGACAAAGGAGAACATCCAGTCAAGTCCGAAGAGGTCAGTTAGAGGACAGAGATATTTGTGGAGTTGGGAAACCACTCGAGGCCCAGCGATCGGCTCGTGATTCACGCCGTGAATGCCCAGTCAGGACCAAGCCCCTTCTTGAGCCTACAACACGAGGTGTTCATGACCCATTTACTCTCCTCTTGCACCACACAAAGGCAGTGTTTATGTCTGCCAGATTTACAGTTTCAAAGGAGAATTCCTCTCCTTACTCGCCCCTAACTCTCTTAATCGCAGGCACGGGGGGTTTGGAGATGGATAGAGACTTGCTGACTCCCACAAGAGTCCAGTAGGACGGAGTTGGGAAGACTAAACAAAGTGATGGTAAATCTTACCCCTTTCACGCCTTTCAAATCCCCCTTGAGCAGCGAGTCCAGGGTGAAGATCACATTGTGGCTGAGGCTCTGTAGCTGTTAAACAAAGCAAGAAAAACATAGTTAATGTGTCACAACAGACTGTCAGAAGAAAATGTTTGATAGATTCTCTGGAAGACAAAAAAACAACAATGACTCAATCTAATAAACAGATTGATTTGCCAGGATGTGATGAATGATTAGGCACAGTAATTTAATTTGGACCACAGATACATCAAAATGAAGATGCAATGCTTAAAAAAGTGTAGCAACTTTTCACTTGCTGACAGACTAATCTGCAGTCGACGGACGAGACTGTGTGAAACGTTTACTACTCTTAACTGGAGAGCTCAGCAGAGACGTTAAAAAACAACGAGCTACAAAACAAAACAAAACTAAAATGAGTCAAAAATTGCCAAAGACGCCAGATGGATGATTCAGCCCACCCACACACACAAACATAAGAAACTAGTCATTTGCTGGGCTGAGTGAAGGTTCATGACCGTTTCAGCTGTGAGGTGGCAACATGCAGACAGACTTCAGGTACATTTTACATAATTAAGGATAAAAAGACTTGGACATCAAGCTCTATTTATTTATTCTGGTAAGAATTAGGGAAGGGATTTTAATGTGCGGAACTTTTGTATTGGCGTGTTTCTGGTACAGCCGTAAATCTGACACGCAAGCAATATCTGCAAACAACAGCAAAGGACAACAAAGCTGCTTCTCTTGGCTTTAGATTAATTTTTGCTCCCAGAAATGATCTTATGGGATGATGGAAAAGACCATTATTGTGTGCAAATTGTGCTAAAAGAAGTTAGCTGTTACCTAAAATACCATCTCAATGCTAAACATGTTGCAGCAAATACAGACACCCCCAAGGCTAATGCTAATATTTTAAAGAAGTAACATGAATGAAACACTTGAAAGATGGATATGTATATTAGCACTTTGCACCAACATGATGGCTGAATAATCTAAATAACAGATTAAAAACAATAAGTATATTTGTTGTTGACCTTATACGTCTATTTATTCAACAATTTAGCAGCAAAATTTTTATTTTGAGAGAAAATTCTCAACATCTGTATTGAAGTTTTGTTTATTGACAGTTAAGAATTTGTCAAGTAGTTAGACATTTATATTCAAGGTCTTATTTTGAAGTTCCGTCTATTTTCCTTCCCTCCTTTTTTCCCCAATAACTTTATTTAAACATACAGAAACAAAATAAGACGCTTACAGTAGAGAGCAAAGCATAAACAAAGACATTGTAGAACATGTAAAGTATAATGTTAAAATTAAATTGGTGCTCAACGATTGTAGTCACTCCAGGGCGAATATAATATAAAGTGAAGTTAGCGCTTTGGGATTAGCTTCTACTGATTATCGTGTTGGTTTAGTGCGCTACTGTTAGCAAAGCTAACTTTTTAATTAGTGGTGTGCACCACTGTCTTTTCTGTAAATTAATACAGGCTGTTCTTTTTATTTGAGGATGCAGATTTGTAAATCAGAGCAGAGATGGCGGAGAGTGTTTCTGCAAAAAATATCTACTACAAGACATACAGCAGATATTCAACAATGACCCTGAATTAAAACTAAAGGAAAGACTAGAAATATTCTAAAACATGCAAAATATGGCATTTGTTTGCATCAGCAATTCTTCCAAATCTGTTCAGTTTTTGACATGCTTATACTAGGTCTCTGGAAGGACTAGAAAGGCTTGATTCGTCCTGTTGCCACAGCTTGGCTCAGCAGTTCCAGCTATGAGGATCAGCAAGGTCATTTACAAGGCTACTAAGCATTTAAGTCCCAGTTGTTAGCCAAGTCCACACTGATACTAAAGGAAGTAAACAAGGCCTAATGGGCACTAATGTCCTCCTTAAGTGCTTGTCTTGCATATGGCCAACATCTAAATCAATCCTTCACTGACCGGCTGCTGGCGAGCTCTTCCAGCTCCTTTTGTAAACCGTCACAAACGCTTTTTGCTTCCAAACACGCAATTCTTGGAGAGAAGACGCATTAAAACGGGTTAAATCAGTTAGTAAAATCCCGGGGACACATCCAGGACACACGCTCTCAGCCGTCGATACTCATTTGTCGTACCAGCTGCCCTCAGGGTGCAGCTATCGAAGTCTGAAAACTCGATACACTGCTGCATATAACAAGAGTCAAACTGAGAGGGCGACTGAGAGAGATCAGGTCACTTTTCCACAATATGCTGGTTGCACAGACAGGTTTGTTTGATGTGTGTATGCACGGACACACAACCCACTCAGCTGTTCCTGCTGCTGCCAAGAGTATTTATGTTGTCTAATCTCACTGTCAGCCACACGGGAAGGGAAGGGAAGACCGGGATCTGGCTCTTCTTCCAGCAGGAATCACTCAGAGGGTTTAAACAGGACGCGTTACTTCACAGGAACTGCGGGAAATCCATGGCACGGAGATAAGAAGCCATCTGGGGGTACAAAAGTTTTCAACTGTGCTTTTTTATATATTTTTTTTTAAGAATATACTTCCACAGTGGCCTGGATTAGTAGTTTTCCAGGATTTCTGAAGGTCTGACTGGGTTCATAGTTTTGATGTTTCTTTCTAGATATTTATTTCCCTGTCCATCACAGAATATTGTTCAATGTGTGCTTACAAAGAAGGAATGTTGACAACTAGGGAACAAAAGAAGAAAACCAGATTCACAGTATCCAGGCCTGGACTGGTTCATCGGGCAGACTGGGACAATTCCCGGTGGGCCGACTGCATGTATGGCAGGGCTTTTTAACATAAAATCAGTTTCATCTGACTGGAAATACATTCCAGATGTCTACAAACGAGTTTTAGAGATATCCTAATTAACTAATATGTCATAAGGATTGCAATTTAAATAATGCAACAGGAAGTGAACTAAGAGCTTCAAAGTGTAGGGAAGAATTAATTTAGTTTATTTATATACTGAAGATATTTGTAAACCAACTTTTCATAAATCCCTCTGAGCTTATTTAAGTGAATGTGAAATAAGTCATAAGCCCATTTCAGATGTCTGGAATGTAAACATGGTGAAGCAGATTTTTTTAAATGGCTCACCATAGATCAGGTCCACACTGATATCTATCGTTTTGTTTTCGGAGACGCAACCTGACGTAGCACTTAGTGGAAAGTAGAAAGAGCGAGGATAACATGGTGAAGGCTAAAATTAAAGAAGCAGCAGTTGATAACTTTCACTAAAATTAGTTTGCATTAGTACCATCAAATGAGGACAGTCAGTAAGGTAAACCGTTCAATCAAGTCATCAGCAGGTTAAAGTTTTAAGAGAATCAGAGATGTGAAATCTGTCACAACACTGTCAGTCCATCTCCATATCCGGTCCATATAACAAAGTACCTGAAGATCCCAATTAAATGGGTTCTTTGTCAAGATGTTTTTCTGAGCAGTCATTCAGTCCAAAACATTTAGATAAGGCACAGAAAAACTTTACAAAAAACAAGACTGCTTTTAAAGATGATAAGAAAAGTTCATGCATATGTAGGGTAGCTAGCTATTTCAGCTTGAAGGAGACTTTTATACAGCTTTGATACATTTAAAGAATGATGAGAATGTCTCAGTTTGGTGTACAAACCCGTATTTAACCCACCAGTGACCCCTGACAACCAATGAGACCTAATCTAAATCCTAACCAACCTACGTAGGGTCAGACAGGAAAAACAAGCTGCAAAACAACATTTGGAAAAATCTGGTTCTCCGACTCTAAATCATTGGCTTTACTGGGATGTGGAGCAGCCGGACTCACCAGGTTCTTCAGCAGGGCCGACAGCTCCTTGGTGAGAGAGGAGAACTTGACAAAAGCTGTCCCCAGGTCAGGGTTGTCCCTGCTGATGAAGTTGCTACCAAACTTATCCAGAGCCTGGGCGTAGTTTTCTTCATTCTGAACATGATCTGTGTTGGAAAAAACAGCAAAGAAGAGGTTAAACAAGGGTCATAAATGATCATAAAAGGTCAAGACCGGAAGCCCAGAGCTCTGAATATCATTAAAAAGTGTAAAATTCATGGAACCATCAGGATTTCTGAAAATTTTAACAAATTAATCCCTTTAAGACACTCATGACTTAAGTTTAAAACCTACACAAATTAGTTAGCTTAATAACATAAGGTAGAAAACATAACAAAACCCCTATTGTAGCAACTTAAGGAGAAAACGCTGCATTTTTCTGGAGGATTTAGAGGAGACAGTGAATGTTTGGGGCTTGTAGTTTTGTTACAGCATAAAAAAACATCCAAGTCCATCAACCAGAACTACAATAAATGAACAAATGAAGGAAATAACATACACATTTCAGATTAAATTAAATATGATTTTTATATATATTTCTTTACCTTTTTAAGAATTTTTAAAGGTCTAATATTGAACTGAAGACATTTTATTAAGGGTTCATCACTGAAAGATAAACACAAAAATTCAAAAATGTCTGCAGACGAGGCCAGAGGTTTCAGGAAGAATCTCGTCTGGACTGATGAGACAAACTGGAGCTGCTTGGATCAGTCAAATCAGCTCCATGCTGATAAAAAAAAAAAACAGCTTTGAAAGAAAATAATCCAATAACTTGAGTGAAACACGGGCATGGCTTTTGTTCTGGATAAGGATCCAAACATCCATGGAAAGATCTCGTGTCCAATGATTAATGCTATTAAATATTACACTTAGGGTGTCATTCTTTTGTCCAGGCAAGTTTAGTTTAATTCTTTGAAATATTCAATTGAAGCAACAATCAAAAGCAAAGTCAGATTTATGTCGAATTAAGAAAATAAACCGATCAATTTTAAATAATTTCAGGAATTGTTGTTATTTTTGTACCATCAGATCTGCCTGCATATTTCATCAGAGCAGCAGACACACCTGGAGCAAAAAAGGGAGTCTGTGTTATAATAGCAGGAATACTCAGTGGACCAGTGTTTTTCTCAAGAAGCCATCTTTTTATACAGATCATGTCAGGGTGAGAAGATGTGTGGTTCTCCTGGCGAACCAGCAGAATCCATCTGTATTCATCGTTAAGTTCCCAGTAGAGAACGGCTGCTTACAAACTAAAATCCAAGCAAACAGGACTAATGTTTTACATGAATTACATACAACTACATTTATGTAAACTCCTAACTTCAAATGTTCTATAGTCAATCTTGTTAGGAGGACAATAACAATATGAATTACATTTCCAGAACCTTTTGAACAGCCAGTTTTTTCCAGTGGTTTTTCCACTTTTCATCTGAAAGGTTTAAAGTGACCAAAGGGTAAAGTTACTCCTCTCTTTGGAGAGCAAACAAACATCCCAAGCTGTCAAATTACAGGGTGGAAAGCTGCTTTCAATGTCATTCAGTGGAAAACAACAGCAGATTCATGACACAGCACTGAGAAAAACTCAGGTGTTGATTTCTGGGACAGTCTGGGCAAGAAAAACACACAATACGCCATCTGTCCCACAAAAGGCGGCTTTCCAAGTACAAACAGGGATTTTCACGCCTGCAAGAAGAAAATACCCGGAGAAAGTGAATAAAAGAACCTGGACATGATAGGAAACAAAGATGTCTCACCTTGACCTGAATTGTAGATTGACTTCACTGATTTCTTCACCTTTTGCAGAGAAGTTCGATCCTGATCCAGCGCCTGGAAGAAGAAAAAAAAAAGATTTTAAACATGTCAGGGTGGTTTCATGCTTTAGGAAAACACAGCACAGTCAAATCGAAAGTCAGCAGATATTTTCCCGATAACAAACCAAATATTTGCTTAACAATTTGGAGCTATTAAGACAGAAAGGCCAAGTGAGTAATGGAGCAGCTTTGTGCTGTTGAATTGGCAAAACAAATCAGGAGTTTTATCACCTCAGATTAGTAATCTTTATTTCTTTGTTGTTTTAGCTGGTAACAAAATTGCCGAGGAACCCATCAGTCCCCATAGTGCTGCTGCATTCATGGGGAAAATGTGCTTTGGGTGCAAGAAGCAAGCAATGTGGCCGCAACTCAAGTCCGAAAAAAATAAAACTTGGATCTTACAACTCAATCAGAAATCCTGAACCCTGATTGACACTATAACAAGTTCAAATATAAGCTGGACTAAAGGATTTGATTAAAATATTCACAGGTTTTTTTTTTTAGTTTCAGCTGCTCCTCTTATTTGTAACTTTTACTCAGATCCAGTTTTAATTTCCCTGAAAAGCCCAAAAAAAAAAAAAAAAAAAAAAAACACCCTTATTTATTTAGGTGCCGCATCCTCATCTGTCGCTCTGATTGTCGAGTATTTTTCTGTTTCTGAAGAGTATGACATTGTGATAGAAGTATTTTATGTCTTAAAATGGACCAAATAAAGACATTGAGCCCATTTATTAAATTGGCTAAATGCAGTAAAGTCATTCAAGAAAGAATTACTTATTTCTGACCATAAATATTTAGGAAATAGTATGTTATTTTTTAAATAAACCAAACAAGTGAGGCTCCCTTTACTGTTTAAAATGTTATGGCTTCTTAAATGCATCTTTAAACAGGATTAAAATTGTTAAAAATCTTTAAAGGGGTTTTAAATGGTTGCAATTTATTACAACATTGGGATTTTGTGTTTCTGACCTGGAGAAAACTGACAACAATGCTGTTGGCAGGCATCTAACTTCAAGATTAATCACCTGTAAAGGCAGCAAGAAGATCCCCTGTCAGACTGGACGCCATGATTCTGCATGGTGTCTATTAATCTGCTCACTCACTGCAGCTGAGATAATTGGGTGGCTTGTTATTCAATAGCAACAAATGTCTCCGTTACCCGCTTCTGCTCAAGGATTAAAAATGCAAGTGTGTAATGTTGGTTTTGCGGAATAATTTATTCTGACAGTGCAAATATCCACTAATTCGAACAACAGGGAATGAAACCAAAATGAAAATAAACACATGCAGGAAGACCGTTACTGCAAGGTCAAGCTGTGGAGAACACACACACACACACCGAGAGAGAGACACACAATAATGCCCTAATTAAATTTAACAACGTAATTAAGTCGCCCTTGGCCTTCCTTGGACAGTTTTACACAGCTCTTCTCCAATTATGGCAGCAGTAGTTCACCGCCGCAGGGCTCTTTCTGCCAGGGCCGAGCCCTTTGATCCCTCGGCAAATGGAAACAGCGTTTGATGCCACACAAATCCTCCATTAGACCTGTTACATGGCTACATGCTCCGTGTCTTAGACCCAAATATACCTGAATATATGTGAATAAATAATCATACACGTGGAGATTAAACAATCTGAATCCTGCGGTTCATTTTAAGGGTATTTTCACATAGTCTGGTAGAGTCGGTTTGATCGGGGATCAAAATTGCAACATTTGTTGCATTTTTAGATGCTGCGGTTCACTTTCACACTGTCGAACGAACCAAACTCTTTGAAAAACCTGTTCCCCTCCTCGCCTGTGGTGGCGCTGCACCAAGAACTACTGCATGAAACAACATGAAAACCTCTGAAGAAAACATCAGCACAACTTCCTTCTGCACAAAATGTAAAAAATAATGGAGTAGCGTCAGATTTAGCAGGATTAGCTATTTCTCTCGTTAGCGGCAGACACACCAATTAATGCTTTAATATTCATTAATAAGTACAATAGAAACAGTCTCAGAAATACTGCAGAAACATCTACAATCTTCTTTATTTAAGGAAAATAAATGTGACTCCTGGATTGGCTGCATTGCAAACGAGGTATTCCAGCTTCCCAAGCTGTATTTTCTTTTGAATATTTTAGATATGCTCTACAAAAAATCCAATGAAACAACAGGTGAGTCCACTGTACTCCCCATAATGGTTGCCATTTCCATTATTATTTCAGACCTTCATTAAAAAGCGAGCTTCATTAAGTTTTTTGCATCTGATTGCATTAAAACCTTCAGACATCTTCACAATTAAAATACAGAAATGCTTAGTCTCCAAACAGGATAAAAAAAAAAAACAAAGCTGGTTGACCTGCATATTAAAATGCTTTCATGAGACTTTTCCTCAAACTGTTAGAGGTTTTACAGTCTGACCTGCCTCCATCTGAATATGAACCAACAAGAACGGCACTTAGGATGAGTGAACAGTTCATTCACCTTTAAATCACTTAGTGGGATGGTACTGCAAGAATCATTAACTCACTGAATGTTAGTTCACAAAGTTTGGTACCTGGGCCAATGATTGCCATGCACTGAATGGCAATCATTCAGTGCATGAATGATTGCCCAGAAGAAAGATTAAAGAAGGACTAAACTGATAGTTATCAGGACTAAAGTAGAAGAAGAAATTGGTCAAATATGTTTAGATTATTTAAATATTTAAAGTGGGTGGCAATCATCTAGCAGCCATTTGCTAATTTTTATTCTTCTGAGGCAGAGCTGTTTGTACCAAAAATCCCTTACAGATGCCTTCAAAACTTAAAAAAATACACATGCAAGATAACCAATTAGTTAATGAGGAGACAAAAGTGAAAGGCTTGAATCTGTCTCAACATAAGCCCAATGCAGACTGAAGAAACACCAATTAAAAAGACAAACACATAATTTATCAAGAACAACTACAAGAGGTATGAATACTTTTCAAGGTAGAGTTAATATGTACTGTAGGCAGCGCAAATAACTTTGCTTAGGACAACAAATGCACATAGCAGGAGTCATCTGAGGCAGGCTCCATCTAAATGCGGTCTGTCGTCATGTTGGGTATGTGCTGCAGCAACCGCCACACCCTCAAGAACAGCTGACACATCCACAAACCGTGCTTCCTCAGGGTCACGGTTAATTCACAGTTTACAAAGGATTAGACGTCTAATTAGGTGGATGGCGGTTCTTTAAGGCAGAAGTTTGGGAACTGCATCTCTAAGGAGGAGCTGGGTCTCAAAAGCGAAGCTAGGTCCACCCAGGCATTTTTCACAGCTGAATGGTTGCCATGGAGATTACAGGATTTCTCAAACATGCATGAAAGAATCAGGGATGTTTCTGATGAGGAAAGAACAGCATAACATTACGTAAAGCTCATAAAAGTTGATTTTACATAATACTGGCCCTTTAAGTGTGACAAAAAAAAAAAAAACAGGAGAAATCTGTAGATGGGAAATGACTTTTATGTGAAAAATAGAATCCAAAATGATTAATAATGAACGACGAACTATTTAATAAACTTGTCTTGTGTGATTCAGTGAATGAGGGTCAGATAATATAACATTAAATAAAAATAACCCAAGCCTAGACCCACAGAGTGACCAAAGCAACCACTGAGGTTAATGAATCCAACTTCCTGGATCCTGAAGACTGCCAGTCATGCTCTGGAGGTCAAAGCTTCACAGCGGGAATGGGTGGCTCAAGTGACTGGAGGTTTTTCTCCATTTCATGCTTCCTGCCCCAGGCCTTATCCTCCCGCAGCAGCCCTGCCGCTTCCCCTGCAGCCGTCCTTTCTGACGGGAAGCAGGAAGCATCCAGGCTCGTCACTGTCCTGTCCCGGATCAGCGTAGCTCCGTCCACTACACCAGCTGCACTCTGCTGACAACCGAGGAACAAAAACATCACACTCTTGACTCCCGCCTCTCCTCCACGACATTCGTCATCGCTTTGGTGGACCGCCTCGCGTGTCAGTCCAACATTCTTCACCCCGGAGGCTGCAGGAAGTCGCCCTGACCGAGCGGTCAGTTCTGCTGTTTGTCAGCAGCTCTCTGGAACCCACATGTACCAACGTGGCAGATTTTACTCTCACAAATCAGCAGAACAGACTCAAAGATCCCCGAATTACACAAATGCAAACAACTTCCGAGAAGGAAAAAACAGGAAGGAGTACAATCATCAAAGGACTTCCACAGAAAAGGAAATGACTGCAGGGGCATTTTTATAGCAGAGGTCAAAGGGAACACTTTTAAAAAATGCTTTCTTTTCATTTCCTTTCTGATTGAGATCCTCTAAATAACAAAAACAAACTGGTTTGTTTCCCAGCAGTAAACCTGAGTCTGATCATGACATCTTACAATGATGGGAAAACACTGTATGAGGACAGAGTTTGTTTGTCTGGCAAGTCACTTTGACTGTCTGTCGATGGAGTCTATGTGGCATGACTCAAGCAGGAAGGGCGGGGAGCCGTTTTCATTGGCAGGAAACAAATGCACATCCCTTTTCTCTGAGCCAGACTGATCTGCAAGTGAAGGTTGGAGGAAAAAGTGAGAGGAGGCGTAATATTTCCAAAAAAGAAGCCGAGATCTGATGGTGTATTCCTCACACAGAGGGAATGAAGTATCGACTGCTGGTGGTTTAGGGTTTGGTTAGGAGCGGTATCCACCGGACCACATGACTGATGTAGTGTCTCAGACAAGCGGGATGAAGCTGGGCTCGATCTTTTTCCACAACGTCTAAAAAAAAAAAACCCTGTCAATCTCCAACAACAGCCAATAGATCAAATCTATCACTCTGAATGAACGGCAACAAATTACGTCTCGTAAAATCTTCAACAGCCAAATCCATCATCAGGGTTTATGTGCTTTCTTCATGCCAAACTTTCAGACATTTCCACACTTAATAGTCCAGAGAATAAAATACAGATGATTACATTTCCACAGAGGTAATAATTTAACGGGACTTATTATGAAAAATTCACATTTTGCACATTTTCGTACTTCAGTTTTT